ATAAGGTCACTATGAGTTTGTCCTGACTGGATAGCACCTAACAACAGCAACGTAATGGTAAAATGGTCATACCTGACGCAAAGGGGGAAGGCATCTAGCAATCAGCATTAAACATAAGTCACTTATTGACTGAAATCGTATGACCAATGTCCTGAGGAATGTTGAGGCCTATGCTTCTCCTCGCTAGTAAGATTGTAAAGATGTGCAGGACATGCCCTGGGTACATAGCTGAACAGTCACGTCCTAGGATGTGCCACCAAGGAAGACCACCCATAAAAATTCTGTATCTTTACTTAATTGTGAGATATTCTATAGGTCATACTGGTTTACCCAATGCCCTAGGCATAACTTTAAAGGGCAGATCTTCTAGTGGCCGGAGAAGAATGTCAGCCCCTGGGAGGGATTTGAATAAAGAACCACATATGCTCAACATACCCAGAATAAGTTGTTTCTGCTCCTACCAGATGGCTTTGATTTGGAATCCATCTTGAAGAAATAATGTGAACGTACCAATTTGCATGTCCCCTCTTAAATTGGCCCTTTTCCAGAAATCTCCACCTATCCCTATGAATAAACATGATGCCTTTTCCCTATCCCCAATTTTTTAAACCCCAGCAAAGCCTTCCTGGAGATGAGGGTTCAGTGTTGTGTTAAGCCCTCCATGTGTCTACCTGAAAGACTCTTTTCTATAATAAACCTTTGCTTATATCTGGCTGTTCTTAATCAGTAGAAGGGCGGAGATACGGTAATATCTTGGTAACAGTACAAACAACTCTCATTAATTTTCTGATTAGAAACGCCATTCTCATTCCCAGGGATAATCCAGATGTTCCAAAACTTTCCACAAAGTGAAGTTAGTACCACAACTGTGACACAGTGCCAAATAGCATTGTCTTTTTTATTGATATGTTTATTTTTTTAAGTATGTATTACATTTATATGTAATTTTCCAACCCCTAAGGACAAATAAAAATCACATTTATAAAGATATTGATACTAAAAGGCAATGATAATGGAAGTAAGTTTTTAATCAGGTGTTCAACGTAATTACATCAGAACCAGCTTACAATAAAGTCATCAGAACAGAACTCCATCATAAGTCAGGTATTTAAGATGGACTACCTGTAGTGAGTTTCTTTATAAAGAACTTCCAGTCTTTAGCTTTAGTGACTTGATAGATGATAAGCGCATAATTATGCTAACTACAGAACAGAATATAGATAAGAGATATAGACATCAATGCTGAGGTAATTTTGAAACAAATAAAAGGATTTAATTTGGATGAAATTAAATTTTTATAGGTGATGCACACTTTGACCCTATCAAAGGGTCGCAATGGGTTAGAACCAACTCGACTGCACTTAGTAACAGCATAACTGGATAGTTTTAGTTTTTTTAAATTTAAAAATACCTACCAAGTTTCATTTTATTATTGAACTTTTTACATTTGGTGACATTTTCCAAAAGGACTCTTACCATATATAGTCTTCTCTTCACCTCAGAATCCTTATATTTAGTTCTTATGACCAAGCTACAGTTACTTGAATACTCTGTATTTTTGTGCTTTCTGCTAT